TTGATCGACTGGATCCGCGCAGCTCGTCTCTAGCTCAGGCGGAGCTTCGGCTCGGACTTTCCTGTTTTGCGCCTGCTCTCGGACAGAGGCGGAGAGTTCTCCTCCGGCCTTCTGCGAGCCTACTGTCGGGCACGAGGCATCCGCCAGACCTTCACGCTTCCGGACTCTCCACAGCAGAATGGGATTGCTGAGCGCCGCATCGGCATTGTCATGGACGTCGCCCGTACGTCCATGGTGCATGCGGCTGCCCCCCATTTTCTGTGGCCGTTTGCGGTTCGGTACGCGGCGCATCAGATCAACCTTCAGCCCAGGGTCTCCAAACCGGAGACCTCCCCAGCTTTGCTGTGGACGGGGAAGGTTGGCGATGCGTCGGCGTTCCGTGTCTGGGGATCTCGGGCGTTTGTCCGCGACTTGTCTGCGGACAAGCTGTCCTCTCGTGCTGCTCCTTGCGTCTTCCTGGGTTTCCCCCCTGACGCACCTGGGTGGCAGTTTTACCACCCCACCTCTCGTCGTGTTCTGTCCTCCCAGGACGTCACGTTCGACGAGTCGGTTCCCTTCTACCGGCTCTTCCCCTACCGCACTCCGTCCCTCCCCTCCCCGCCCCTCTTCCTGGTCCCTGGTCCCCCCCCAGTAGACCCCCTCCCCCCTCAGGGTCCTGCCCCTTCAGGTGTGTCTCAGGTAGACGCGGTCGAGCCTGTCGAGGTCACTGGTGACTCTGGTGCTGCTGCGGGTGCTGAGCCTGGGGGTGCTGAGCCTCGGGGTGCTGAGGCTGTGGGTGCTGAGCCTGGGGGTGCTGTGCCTGGGGAAGCTGAGCCTGGGGGTACTGCGTCTGGGAGTGCTGCGCCTGCTGCTTCTGTTCCTGGTGGTTCTCCAGACCGTTCTTCGCGCCGCGAGCCGCTCTCTCCTCTGGAGCTGCGTGAGTGGTTTGCCCGGCGCTGGAGGCGAGCTGCTGGAGCTGGGGGTACTGTTGCTGCCGAGGGAGCTGGTACCACGGGTCCCGGAGGTGCTCGTACTGAGGGTACTGGAGCTGCCGGGCCCGGGGGTGCCTCTGGAGCTGGAGCTGCTGCGGGTGCTGGCGCTGAGACTACGACTGTCGGTCCTACTGAGGGTACTTCTGCAGCTGCTGGTGGTGCTGGAGTTGGAGCTGCTACTGGTGCTGGTGCTGCCTTTGGAGGTGTTGGTGCTGTCCCTGCTGTCTCTGGCGGTGCTGCGCGGCCTCGGCCGTACTTCGTTCCGCTCCTTCAGCAGGTTCTTGGTCTCCCGCCTAACACTGGTCCTTCTCCTCCCGTAGAGTGTCCGCAGTCTGTCCCGTCACAGTCACAGTTACAGCCCGCCTCTCCCCTGCCTTCTCCTTCTCCCTACGCTGGTCCTACTGGAGGTCTTGCTGAGCGTCGTGAGCCTGCGTCCCGCCCTGCGTCGCCAGTCCGAGCTGCTCGCCCTAGTGGTCGCGGTTTGCGTCAGCGTCCTCCTCCTGTCCCTGGCACACACCAGATGTCTCTGCGTCCGTCCACTGCTCCTCTGCGTGCCCCTTTGCCTTTTCCTCCTCAGTCTTCTCTTCCTACACTTGCCGACCCGGAGTCGGACTCTCGCCGTGCTGCCAGTCCTACTGTCACGCGTCTTCTTGCTACTGTTGTCACTGACCCTTCCTTTGAGTCCGCTGCTGCGTCTTCCCTAGTTGCTGAGCTGGTCGACTTTGCTGCTGCGTGTCGTCTTGACTACGCTGCCAGTCTTGTTGCTGAGTCCGCTGAGTCTGCGTCTGCTGCGTCTGCGTCTGCCTGTCCTCCGTCCGTCGGGGGTGACTGTGCTCTTGGCACGGACGTCCTTGAGGACAGGCAGGAGGAGTTCCAGTGCTTTGCCGCCGCTTTGCCCCATCTCGTGTCCATGCTTGTTGCCCCTGAGGGAGACCCGGATGCTCTAGACATCCCGACCCCACGCTCTTACGCAGAGGCGATGGCCGGTCCCTACTCCTCTCAGTGGCAGTCAGCCATGGACGCAGAGATGGCTTCTTGGAAGTCCACAGGCACCTACGTTGACGCTGTTCCCCCTTCTGGGGCGAACATTGTCAGTGGCATGTGGATCTTCAGGGTGAAGCGGCCGCCGGGTTCTCCGCCTGTCTTCAAGGCGCGCTACGTGGCTCATGGCTTCAGTCAGCGACAGGGAGTTGACTTCTTTCAGACCTTCTCCCCGACCCCGAAGATGACCACTCTTCGGGTTCTACTGCACGTCGCTGCTCAACGTGACTACGAGCTACACTCTCTTGACTTCAGCACTGCTTTCCTGCAGGGCCGCCTGCACGAGGAGATCTGGCTGCGCCGCCCTCCTGCCTTCACTGGGTCGTTCCCTCCTGGTACCCAGTGGAGCCTCCGGCAACCAGTCTACGGTCTCCGCCAGGCGCCGCGTGAGTGGCATGACACACTGAGGACTACACTTGCGGCTCTTGGGTTTGCTCCTTCTACTGCTGACCCGTCGCTGTTTCTGCGCACCGACACCTCGCTGCCGCCGTTCTACATCCTCGTGTACGTCGACGACTTGGTCTTTGCCACTGCAGACACTGCCGCACTCGCCCACGTGAAGTCCGAGCTGCAGAAGAGACACACGTGCACAGACCTGGGTGAACTGACAAGCTATCTTGGCTTGCGGATCACCCGGGACAGAGCACGCCGCACCATTACCCTGACTCAGTCACACATGGTGCAGCAGGTCCTTCAGCGCTTCGGCTTCACGTACTCCTCGCCTCAGTCCACTCCTCTGCCTACGGGACACTCGCTCTCAGCTCTGCCTTTGGATGAGTCCGTAGAGTCGAGTGGTCCGTATCCAGAGCTTGTGGGCTGCCTCATGTACCTGATGACTTGCACTCGACCTGACCTCGCATACCCTCTCAGCATCTTAGCACGCTATGTTGCTCCCGGCCGTCACCGGAAGGAGCACATGGATGCAGCTAAGAGGGTGTTGCGCTACTTGTGCAGTACGTCTGGCATGGGGCTAGTGCTTGGAGGGCGTGAGCGGCCTGTGCTCACTGGGCACGCGGACGCTTCTTGGGCTGACGACCAGGCTACTCAGAGGTCGTCTCAGGGTTACACCTTCAGTCTTGGCTCTGGCTCTATCTCTTGGCGCTCTACTCGCTCTTCTTCGGTTCTCAGCTCCAGCTGTGAGGCTGAGATCTACGCCACGGCCATGGCTGCCCAGGAGCTTCGCTGGCTCACCTACCTGCTGACTGTCCTTGGAGAGCGGCCTCGTTCTCCTCCAGTTCCGTACGTCGACAACAAGGCAACCATTGCCTTGTGTCAGGAGCACAGACTAGAGCACAGGACGAAGCACATTGCTCTGCGCTACTTCCTTGCTCGAGAGCTGCAGCAGCGTGGTCAGCTTCGCCTGCGTTTCGTGGCCACTGAGGCCAACACTGCTAATGTGTTCACCAAGGCACTTCCGCCTCGTGACCATCAGCGCTTTTGCACTCTGCTAGGCCTTGTGCCCACTGGGCCTCACTTGCTTACCTCTTGACCTTGCCTGTACTGCTGCATATATATATCCTTGCTCTTGCTTGTTTAGCACTGTTATATATATATGCTCTGCTGCATGTGAACTGGCCTTGTGGCCTTGACCTTGTGCTCGGAATTTGTGTGGTATCCTTGAGATCCACCCTGAGCTTGCTTTGTTTGACTGGTCTTGTGACCCCTTGCTCTCCCCCACTTTGCCTATAGGGGTGTGTCAGATGTTTATATATTGCTGATGCATATATGTAGGCTGTAGTGGGGTAGCCCATTGGGGGTACAACCCAATTAGGGTTGGTACTTGTACTTGTTTCATTTCATAGTGCAACCACTCTCTCTCTCTAATCTCAACAGACCTTGTTGAGGACAGCTGGTGGTTGAAGACTCCCATGGTTGACTTGTCATTGTGCAACCACAGCAGCTTCATTGCCTCGAGCCCTTCTGCCGACAAGTGGACAGAGAACGCTTCGAACACTTCCTCCGGTGCAGGGTAGTACTGTATTTTCTCCGGCGGGTTCAGAAACATGAGCTGAGAGCACACTGAGTAGGCTTTGTTCTGCGCAGGGGTGTAAGGTATACAACACGACATGGAAGAGCGAAACCAGCAGTTATGAGGGTGGCCGCGTGACCATGGGATGGTGACTAGCAACACTGTTTGAACTTGCCACGTCACCCTCCACCTACCTGACACACGTCGCCTCGTCACGCGCCGCTCCCGTGTACCATTCCAAACCGCCACGTCAGCCCCAACCCTCACATTCTGCTACGTCACACCCTTTTGCATCCGCCAACAACCCGCCCTACTTGCCACGTCACACCCCCCACGAAGAGCCACGTCACCCCCCACCCACCTGAGACGCCTCGCTTTGTCATGCGCCGCTCACGTGCACCCTTTTAGGGTGCCACGTCATCCCCAACCCTCACCTTCCGCCATGTCACTCCCACCTGCATCTGTCACGTCATCCCCCACCCTCACCTTGCGCCACGTCACACCCTCCTGCATCTGCCACGTCCACCAACCAGCCCCACGTGCCACGTCACACCCTCCCACCCCATGCCACGTCACTCCCCACCCACTTGACACGCGTCGCCTCGTCACGCGCCGCTCCCGTGTACCATTCCAAACCGCCACGTCAGCCCCAACCCTCACATTCTGCCACGTCACACCTTTTTGCATCCGCCAACAACCCGCCCTACTTGCCACGTCACACCCCCCATAAAGAGCCACGTCACCCCCCACCCACCTGAAACGCCTCGCGCCGTCATGCGGCACTCCCTTGCACCCTTTCACACCGCCACCTCATATCCCAAACCCTCACCTTTTGCCACGTCACACCCAACCCGCATCCGCCACGTCCACCAACAACCCGCGCCACTTGCCACGTCACACCCACCCACCCCATGCCACGTCACCCCCCACCCACCTGTTACGCGTCGCCTCGTCACGCGCCGCTCCCGTGTTCCCTTCGAAACCGCCACGTCAGCCCCAACCCCGCCCTTGTTGCCACGTCAACCCCAACCCTCCCCATGTGGCCCGCCACATACCGGGAATGGGTTTGTCTCCTGCAACACTAGCACTCGTGCCCTGTCCACGGCGCTCATCGGCGGCGGGGTACCAGCCATAGGCAGGGCTGCCGACCCGCCGGCATAGCTGGCAGGTACTCCACGACGCAGGCCAAGCTGTGCAAACATGGCGTACATCTCAGACCGCAGCGCCTGGAACTCCTCCCGTGTAACAAAGTGCTCGTGCTCCGCACTTTCACCTAGGGCACCCATGAGCGGAGGAAAAGGGTGTGAAGAATCCCCCCTCTGGCCAAGGGGATCAACGTCTTCTGCAGCAGTCCCGTGTGCCCTCACACTATCACGCTGGCAGGAAAAGGGGAGCTCAGGGAAGGGATTGGCATAACTGCCTGCCTGATGCCCGCACGAAGGATCGGCGAGAGGGGAGACCGCCCTGCCCCGGACAGGAGAAGCGTGGAATTGCCAAAATTGGTACGAGGGTGAGGCGAGTGGGGACTGCGTGACGGGGGCGGGTGGAGGGGATTCGGATTCCTCTTGTCTTTGCGCGCCTGGTGTCGTCGCAACGACTTTGCTCGGGCCGGCCCATGGCGTGTAGTACCTTGGTGCTCCGAAGGAGAGCGGTGTAACACTCGCTCTTCCGGCAGCCTTCGTTAGATGCATTCGTTGCACGCTTACGGGCGGCCCGATGCCTGTAACGCGAGGGGCTGAGATGTTGAGGGAGCCGGAAAAAACAAATAGAGTCGATCGGTTTCAAGGCGGGGCCAGACATGCATGCATATTCAGAAAGGTTTGAATCTAGATCGGGTTCAGGGTTGTACTGGTTTGAGACAAGAGGGTTTACCTTGCTTGGCAGATTCGTCGACCTTCTCCTTCCCTGCATGGGAGAAACAATGTGAAAAAAGGGTGTTTTTTGGCACGGTTTAGCAGATGGTTCAACACGTCACGCCAGTTTTATTGGACACAATGCTCACCTTTCTGCTGTCCCTTCGGTTTTGGGGCAGCCTACGCCTTCTCGTTGCCACCTTTCTGCAGGGTGCTTTGGCGGACGCTGCCCAGTTTACCGGCAGGTTCTTTCTTGCTAGTACCCACTGGAACCCCTTTGGCGCGGCCACCCTTTCCTCCTCCATCCTCTTTTGCTCCCTGGCTCCCTTGCTTTTTACCAACCCCTTCATTTTTGACCTTCACCTTACGCGCCTTCAGTTTGCCCGATGCTTCGCCGCGCGCAGTGTCAACTGCCCCGCGTTTTCGGGAAGGGCAAGTCCGGCCCCCCTCCTTCCCTGTACCACTCACCCGTCTGCCACGCCCGCCCCGTCCCTTCACTGGCGCCACATCCTCCTCCTCCTCCTCCTCCTCCTCCTCCTCCTCCTCCTTCTCCTCCTCCACATCCTCCTCCTCGTCGTCACCCTGCTCCTCCTCCTCCTCCTCCTCTTCCTCCTCCTCCTCCTCCTCCTCCTCCTCCTCCTCCTCCTCCTCCTCCTCCGCCTCCTCCTCCTCCTCCTCCTCCTCCTCCTCCTCCTCCTCCTCCTCATCCTCCTCCTCCTCCTCCTCCTCCTCCTCCTCCTCCTCCTCCTCCTCCTCCTCCTCCTCCTCCTTCTCCTCCTCCTCCTCCTCTTCGTCCTCCCCGCCATCATTCTCATCTTTTTTATCCTCCCCAACATCCGCGTCATCCTCCTCTCCCTCCGCATCCTCCTCCTCCTCATCCTCCTCCTCCTCCTCCTCCTCCGCATCACCGGGGTCTTCATCGCCCCGTTTCGGCTTTGTTCCCGCCGCTTCTTTCTTGCCTCTCCTTCCGCCGGATGCTTTTCTTGCTGCGGGTCGGCCCTTCTGGAGCAATGCTTGACCGCCCGCCTTGCCACTAGCTTCCTTGGCGCCTCGCGGTGTCCCAACAGCCGCGCCACCGGTGTCGTCAGCACTACCTGTCGTCTGCCGCCTCTTCGCCTGCGTAATGAGGTCCCTGGGCACGGCGGTGTCATAATCGTCCTCCCCATCGCTCTTCCTCTGCCTACGCCTCCCCCGTCCACCAGAAGGTGGAGAGCCACCGACCAGCCTCACCGACTCGTGCTCCCCCACCTTGTCCTTATCCAGCACGGCTGCCGAAACTTGGACCACGGTCGGTTGGAGCAGCGTCAGATGGTGTTGCGTTGCTGCCGCCTCGGACTCCTTGGTTGCGGCATGCTCGGCGCGGGGATCGCCCCCGTGATTTCCCTCCGTCGCCGATCCCTCCATCTCTGCCCACGGGAGTGCAAGACTTGCGCTCCCTCGCCCCGGATCTTCGTTGCCGCCAGTGGAGCCGTCTTTACTCGGACCGGGCTCGGTTCCAGCAGAGGCAACATCCGCATCTTTGTTCACTGTAGAAACACGCTTGCGTGGCGTTGGTTTAGGCCCCTTGTCTTCCGCTTTCTTGCTGGCCTCCTATTGACCGCGCGCAACCTTTTTTGCCGCCGCTTTTTTCTGCCCAATGCCACGAGCGACGGACGCATTAGTTTTTTTAGCGCCGCCACCACACTCCCATCGATTTGTTTAGATGTCCTCCTTGTCACGCGGCGGCCGGCCTGTTCCTCCTGCATTGCTTGGTTACGTGTTGCACGTGTCATGGTAATTGTAGGAGGAGCAAAGTTGCAAATCACGCGGAAGGGTTGAGCCGGTTTCGAAAGGGTTCTACAACTGAATCCCACGATGGGATTATCGACGGTCTATCACTGTTATGTGTTTCCGAAAACCGCCGCTTCAACTAAATCTGTCATAGTAGCCACTATGCTTCGCGCTAAGGCCGATCTGGAGAGGCGTGTGTCAAGGCAACGAGCAGCGTCAAAGCGTTGGTCCAGGGAGTGACGGAAGCAGGTGGGTGGGACACGAGGGTGGTTGGGGTGGGTTGCGAGACTAGAGAGAGTAATGTAACCCTATCAGGCTATATTGAACAGTGTACGTGTAGCCACCCTAGCATAAACCCATCTACCGCTCGATCTCAGCCGCTCAATGGCTGAAGTACCTCTTGGCTGATGACTGTGTTGCGGGGGGAATCGTTTGAGATGCGTCGGCCAATCACGGTTGCCAACGCATAAATCACTGAATTTTATTCAAACATACAACAATGCATTTCATCAAACTCTAAGTTGCAAATGGTATACCACGGGGTTTGGGTAAGTTAATCGGTGATTCTTACGTCACACACACAATGACCGTCCAGAATTATTACTTGTAAAAGATATACTGTGCACTTTTAGGCTTTGCCACAATGGTTTAGGGCCGGCAGACGACATTCTAACACGATTACCAATAGTAACAAACGTGAATCCGTTGTGGTATGGTGTTGGATTGTCATCCATTCTTGCACAGACATTAAACAAGGTGCTTAGAAGGAGTGGTATGTGTTACGAAGAAGTGATTGCACTATGAAAAGTTGGAGTACAAGTATGAAACCCTAGCTTTGTGTACCCCCTAAAGGCTAACCCACTATAGCCTACACAACAAAAACACATATAGTATTTGACACACCCCCATAGGCAAATTGGGGGAGAGCAAGGGGTCACAAGACCAGTCAAGAAAGGCAAGCAAGCTCAGGGTGGATCACAACGTCACCACACATTCCGAGCACAAGCAAAGGGCCACATGGCCAGTTGACATGCAGAAATATATATAAGTAGTACAAACAGCAAAGGTGATCTCAGCCTAGCAGAGCAAACAGACAGGAGTATATATAGAGATCACAGTACAGGCCAAGCCTACAACAAGTGAGGCAAAGTGGGCACCAGCCCCAACAAAGTACAGAAGCGCTGATGATCACCAGACTGAAGTGCCTTGGTGAATATATCAGCGGTGTTGGCCTGAGAGGCCACGTAGCGCAGATGAAGCTGACCACGCGGCTGCAGCTCACGAGCAAGGAAGTAACGGAGAGAAATGTGCTTCGTTCTGTGCTCCAGTCTGTGCTCCTCACACAAGGCAATGGCAGCCTTGTTGTTGACGTACAGCATTGGAGGAGAACTAGGCCTCTCTGCAAGGTCGGTCAGCAGGTAGGTGAACCAGCGTAACACCTGTGCAGCCATGGCTATGGCGTAGATCTCAGCCTCACAACTGGAGCTGAGAACTGAAGACGAACGCGAAGAGTGCTACGAAACTGAGCCAGAGCCAAGGCTTAAGGTGTAACCCTGTGACGACCGTTGAGTAGCCTGGTCGTCAACCCAAGAAGCGTCCGCGTGCCCAGTGAGAACAACTGAGCTCCCTCCTCCAAGCACGAGCCCCATGCCTGATGTACTGCACAAGTAGCGCAATACCCTCTTTGCAGCATCCCAGTGCACCTTTTGGAGACGACCAGGAGCCATATAGCGGGCCAGAAGACCAAGAGGGTACGCGAGGTCAGGACGAGTGCAAGTCATCAGGTACATGAGGCAACCAACTAGCTCTGGGTAAGGACCACTCGACTCTACGGACTCATCTGAAGGCAGAGCTGAGAGCGAGTGACCTATAGCCAGAGGAGTGGCCTATGCTGAGGACCAAATGAAGCCGAAGCGCTGAAGGACCTGCTGCACCATGTGTGACTGAGTCAGGGTAATGGTGCGGCGTGCTCTTTCCTGGGTGATCTACAAGCCAAGGTAGCTGCGCAGTTCACCTAGGTCTGTGCACGTGTGTCTCTTCTGCAGCTCCGACTTCACGTGGGCGAAAGACTCAGTGTCAGCTGTGGCAAAGACCAAGTCATCGACATACAAGAGGATGTAGAACGGCGGTAGCGAAGTGTCGGTGCGCAGAAACAGCGACGGGTCAGCAGTAGAAGGAGAGAACCCAAGTGCCGCAAGAGTAGTCCTCAGTGTGTTGTGCCACTCACGTGGTGCCTGGCGGAGACCGTAGACCGGCCGCCGGAGGCTCCACTGGGTACCAGGAGGAAACGACCCAGTGAAGCCAGGAGGACGGCGCAGCCACATCTCCTCGTGCAGACTGCCCTGCAAGAAAGCAGTGCTGAAGTCAAGAGAGTGAAGCTCGTAGTCGCGCTGAGCAGCAACGTGCAGTAGTACCCGAAGAGTGGTCATCTTCGGGGTGGGGGAGAAGGTCTGAAAGAAGTCTACTCTCTCTCGCAGACTGAAGCCTGTAGCAATGTAACGAGCCTTGAAGACAGGCGGAGAACCCGGCGGCCGCTTCACCCTGAAAATCCACATGCCACTGACGATGTTCGCCCCAGGTGGGGGAACCTCGTCGACGTAGGTGCCTGTGGACTTCCAGGAAGCCATCTCTGCGTCCATGGCTGACTGCCACTGTGAGGAGTAGGGACCCTCGATCGCCTTAGCATACGAACGAGGAGTCGGGATGTATGGTGCATCCGGGTCTCCCTCAGGGGCAACTAGCATGGACACGAGATGGGGCGCAGCGGCTGCAAGACACTCAAGATCCTCCTGTCTATCCTCAAGGACGTCCGTGCTAAGAGCACACTCACCCCCGACAGATGGAGGACAGACAGACTCAGACTCCGCGACAAGACTGGCAGCGTAGTCTAGACGAGAGCGAGCAGCAAAGTCGACAAGCTCAGCAACTAGGGCAGACACAGCAGCAGACTCAAACGAAGGGTCAGTGACAGCAGTGGCCAGGAGACGCGTGATAGTAGGACTGGCCATACGAAGAGAGTCAGACTCCGGGTGAGCAAGAGCAGGAAGAGAGGACTCAGGAGGAGACGGCAGAGGGACACGCTGTAGAGCAGTGGAGGGACGCAGTGACATCCGGTGTGTGCCAGGGACTGGTGGCGGACGCTCACGCGGAGTACGGCGACTGGTGGAAGTAGTACGAACAGGTGACTCAGGACGGGACACAGGCGACACAGGACGAGACTCGGGCTGACGACGCTCTGTGAGACCGCCATGTAGGACCAGTGTAGGGAGAAGGACGAGGAAGTGGCGAGGCAGGCGGTAGCTGTGACTGCGACTGGACCGGCGGTGGACACGCTACAGAGGCCTGAACGCTGCATCGTCGCACAGTCTAAACATGGCTGTCGATAACGCATCACCGCTTGTGCGTAGGGCCTGTGCTTCATACCACTCCTTCTAAGCACCTTGTTGAATGTCCGTGCAAGAATGGATGACGATCCATCACCATACGCAAACGGATTCACTATGTCGCGCAACCCGCAGGCCTGAACGTTGCTTCGTCGCACAGTCTAAACATGGCTGTCGATAACGCATCACCGCTTGTGCGTAGGGTCTTTGATTTATACCACTGCTTCTAAGCACCTTGTTGAATGTCCGTGCAAGAGTGGATGACGATCCATCACCATACGCAAACGGAGTCACCATGTCGCGCAACCCCGCAAGCCTGAACGCTGCATCGTCGCACAGTCTAAACATGGCTGTCGATAACACATCACCGCTTGTGCATAGGGCCTGTGCTTCATACCACTCCTTCTAAGCACCTTGTTGAATGACCGTGCAAGAATGGGTGATGATCCATCACCATACGCAAATAGAGTCACCATGTCGCGCAACCCGCAGGCCTGAACGCTGCATCGTCGCACAGTCTAAACATGGCTGTCGATAACGCATCACCGCTAGTGCGGAGGGCCTGGGCTTCATACCACTCCTTCTAAGCACCTTGTTGAATGTCCGTGCAAGAGTGGATGACGATTTATCACCATACGCAAATAGAGTCACCATGTCGCGCAACTCGCAGGCCTGAACGCTGCATCATCGCACAGTCTAAACATGGCTGTCGATAACGCATCACCGCTTGCGCGTATGGCCTGTGCTTCATGCCACACTTTCTAAGCACCTTGTTGAATGTCCGTGAAAGAATGGATGACGATCCATCACCATACGCAAACGGAGTCACCATGTCGCGCAACTCGCAGGCCTGAACGCTGCATCATCGCACAGTCTAAACATGGCTGTTGATAACGCATCACCGCTTGTGCGTAGGGCCTGTGCTTCATACCACTCCTTCTAAGCACCTTGTTGAATGTCCGTGCAAGAATGGATGACGATCCATCACCATACGCAAATAGAGTCACCATGTCGCGCAACCCGCAGGCCTGAACGCTGCATCGTCGCACAGTCTAAACATGGCTGTCCATAACGCATCACCGCTTGTGCGTAGGGCCTGTGCTTGATACCAATCCTTCTAAGCAACTTGTTGAATGTCCGTGCAAGAATGGATGACGATCAATCACCATACGCAAACGGATTCACTATGTGGCGCAACCCGCAGGCCTGAACGTTGCTTCGTCGCACAGTCTAAACATGGCTGTCGATAAC